GTGATATTCTTTTGGCACTTAAAAATATATAGGATGATTTTATCTAGTTGTTTTTTCAAAGATTATAAATATTTATTTATCCTAGTCGACACATTTTAAGCAACTGTCCTTCAACTTATTTGTACTTATCTTTCTAATGTGTTTTCTTTTTTTTTTTGCTTCATTTTTCTCCTATTCCTTCAACATTAACTTCTATTAAGTCTTCAATGTAAGATTTGTTCAAATTAGTGTAGATGACTCGTTTGACCTCATAAGTAGATATGTACACATCTTTATAACTAATGCAATCACTTATTCAGTCATACATACATTCATTTATTCATTTGTTTAAATAGTCCACTCTCTCTCTCTCTCCAGGTGAAGTTTCCTAATTAATAACCCCTAAGTAATTTAGGATGCGAAAATTCGCAATATATATACAGAATAGAAGGAAGACAAAGACAATGAGTGAGAAAAACAAATTCTCAGTGGGTTCAATATATTGTATAAAAAAACAAACAAGAAAAATAATAATTTAGATACATTTAGTTCACGAGACTAATATTACTGTTATAATTTTTCCTTTCTTAAAATATTCGACCTACTGGAAAATCAGCAATTTTGTAAGGTTACAAGATAGAATTTATATTGATACAATTTTTGTGATTTATCCTTCTTAATTCCGTTGAAAAAGGAATTCACCAGCTGTTGACAGCAGATGGTTGAATTTGTGTAGTCATTTTAATGGCGTCATACACCGTATTCAGTTTCATTAGGTTGGTTAGAGGACTTCAGCATGAGTAGTTTGTTCTATTCGCAACACACTAGATGTGGACGACACCGTCCCCACTAAAACTCACCTAACGGTTTTGTCTTCAAATAACACAATGCTATCTACTTCATCACGGGGAAGACTCTGGCTTCATAGTATTATTTTATGCGTTTCTGTCTTGTAAGAAACATCTGTTTAATAAAAGCATACTTTATCTGGAGACTATTCATCTAAACACACCATTTTTGACATTTTATCACAAGTATGCAGTTAACCATCTTTGAATCATGAAAACAGAAATCCCCCTAACATAAATTCCTTAGCACAGGCGAAAAGATCCAAATTTTTAGCAGTAATGTTAAAGTGGTGCTTCTGTTGACTTCAGGAACTTGGCGCACACATCATCGAAAGCGTTTCCAACAGGCTACTGAAGATTTCCATTAACAGCTGTCTTTACTCCCGGATAGTGAAAACCAGACGACTAGCTGACCAGAAAAGATAAACAACAAGAAACTGTGTCAACGAACAAGCTGAAAACCTATCGCCTAAAAATTGTGCAAAATAAAGTGGAGATGGACTGGAAATAAGGTGAGGAGGTCGTTTACTGGCATTATACTTTAGTCAGACACTTTAGTGGGGCCTGAAGGGAAAGAAAGCAACTAGTTAGATGTTCGACGGTGACATGAAGAAGATCATGTGAAGAGAAAATGAAAGCCAGTGGACAGATTTGGATCCAGCTGAGAGTACTGGCAGAGAACTAAACACAATGGAGATGTGTCGCTGAAGCCCTTTGTTTCACTAGAAGGAGTTCATATATAAAGATATATATATGATGATAACACGAATTCAGAAAAACCGTTATCAGTAAATTTCGGAAATTCTGCGGAAAATCATACTCCTAAAGATTAGATATCAATCTAAAACTAAATTAACCACGGATAAGTTCATAGTGTAGTAGATACTCAAGTATTCATAGAATGTGGAAGATGAAAGGAAAGAAAAGTACGACGAATAACAATTTTGCATGTTATGACAGGAAAGAAAACAAGGCACTAGTGCATTTGTATCAATGTGGCTAACCTGTGGCCATGTTTTCTTGAGTATTGTGACCATATTTTTCAGTTGTGTATTGGACCCTATGTAAAAATTAAAGATTCCATAGTTGAATACGACCGATAAATATGATCAACAGCATTATCGTAAGTTTACTAGCCATAGCAGTCCATATTTTCATTAGATTACCTTCAACCTTCTATATCTGCCCTAGTGTTTCTGGCTACATGCCATAGTTGGAATGAAGCTACTATTGAATGACAGGTGACTGATTAGTAGCTGGAAACTACATAAACAGTTTCCCAAACTGTTCTGAGTAAAGTTTTCTTCCTTATTGTTGGGGGATAAAAAATTCTTCCCACGCTTTATTTTTACCACTGGATCAGTTCAGCGCTCGAATGAGTCAGTCATTTGGAAACATTGCCCATTTTAAGTTCTGTGTTTATTGGCTCTCATCATCAAGAAATACTGCATCCTCAGATAAACTCATGTCTCCTCGGTAAGTGGAACTTGTATCACTAGCTGCTGAAGCAACAGATTATAAAAAGTCCTCTGCAAAGTTGGATAATGTACGCGGATTAATGAATATTCAAAAGCTGTTTTGAGTATATTGATTAAAATCTGTCACTCAGGCCAATGCGCTTACCAATACTGTACATCTCCACACTGTGGTAAACTTAAAAAGACCATTAAGAGATGAGAAGTGTTAGTTAACGAGAAAATATCCATCTTTCTTCAACAGCCTTGTAATAAGATCTTTGATTCCTGAATTCAGCAACCACAAAGATGCCTTTCAGTAATAAAATGTCTTTTTTGTCCATTTTAGAATTGAGTTATAAAACTTCTATTGGATAGAAAACTTCTGCTAAAATTATTGCGTTACAAGTAGTAAATTGAGATAAGTCAGTCTGCTAGCTACTGTATGCCTGAACATAACAGTAAAGGTCAGTGTAATGATAAGAGTACCTTTGTGGTCCATCAGTCACAGTCTAGGCAATCAGAAAAGACAGATGTTTCATCTACGGAGGAATTCAAAATCTCCTTTCATTTCAAATTAACTCGGAAAAGACAATAAAAGCTTCTTAAATAAACCATCAAGATCAGAGACCGCTACAACACAGAAAACATTCACCTGAACTAGAAATCTTCATTGTTTCAATCAATTTAAGGGTATATGAAGACATTGCAACATTTCTTAGATGAAAGCCTAGTTATTAAAATATCTAGTAATAATCATTCCAGCGGGATTCGTTATCTTGTATCTTGAAAGGATTTATGAGAATGAATACAAAAATTAAATTAGTATCTAACAAAGATTTTCTGTACTGAATGAATGTATTTTTGTGATCACATTGGCCTCTTCATTTATTGGATTGTTGTGTTGACTAGTTGTTCCAGAGTCCTTATGATGCTAGGCCGTGTACTTTTCAATAATACATATGACACTCATTTGGAAGTTTGTATTTGTTTGATTGTGTATATGTGCATAATTAGACCGTTGCTCCTTCGTTACACGTTTAATGTAGTGAAATTTGTCAAAATAGGGTGATGACTGGGAATGGTACTATGAAATTTAATATTGAAAACTTCCGAGTGTAAGCGCATTGTTTCATCGAATAACCTGCAATATCAGATTCATGAGGGCCTGACGCGCGATGTCACCCAACGGCCTCCTCAGCGAGTGTCCAATCCATCTCCACTTCCTCCTGCATATTTGTTGGGCTATTGGTTCCTGTTTCGTTTGTTCCCATAGCTTCTTGTTTGTGATTCTTTCCGGCCATCTAATCTTCAGTATGGAGTCTAGTTAAATTTAAATATTAACTATCTACCCCATGGAAATCTTATGAAGCTATAAATAGTCTAACCGATACTTTACTGCCTAATGCTGCTTCTTGTATTTAAAAACTGATATCTGGCGGTGGACTCAACTAAGGTACCCTCGATCATTTTAACATAATTTCATCCTACCGAAATTTGTTTGATGGTTCGAATACGAACATCTAAGATTTTACAGAGAAATGAATACCCTGAATATTCGACAATTTAGCAAACAACTAGAAGAGTTAGAAAGAGGTAATAGTACACTCACAATAATAAGCACGGAATAATATGTCATGTAAGAAACTAGCGAATACTATATTGTCAGACCCTGAGCTTCCTCTCTATACGCAGCTCTCTCCTTGCATTTCATCTGGTAGAACTAGAAGCAACTATAGGAGGCTATATGCTAGGACTACCAAGTACAAAAACTCCACAATACCTTATCTGGCACAGCTGTTATATGATGAGAAATCCGTTAGGTATGACACGATCAACTTACTGCGGCACTCCAACAAATAGTTCCCATTAGCTTTTGTTCTCCTTTCTTTGCTACTATTATATTGTTGTTCACATCTTCTATTACACACTAATTTTATATTTCATATTCCTGTGGTGCACTGTTTAAAATGTGAATGCAATGCTGTTCTTTTTTATTTCCTTTATTTTTCTTTTTTTCTTTTTGTTGTTGTTGCTTTTTATTTTTAAAATCTTATAAAATTTATGAGGTAATTAGATGCAATATTGTAATGCACGCTGAAAATTCCATACCTGTACCACAAATACTGTTTGGAATAAAGCTATTGTTATTATTATTAAAAAAACGAAATTATATTATAATACGTGTTATAAGTAATTAACAGGAAATTGAGTGAATAAAAAATTAATCTGCTTTGTCCACAAATGTTGTTACTACTCTTTTCACTTTGAAAAAAGACAATCCATGGAAGAAAAAGGCTCGCAGTTCGACTAATTTCAACCGACATGGGGCATTTTTCCTTCAGCTGTTACTACTTATGTCTAATAACAATTGGTCTGACTTTTAATGTTAATGCTTCTAGATATTTTGTTTTCAAATGGCTCTATAAATGATATCTGTTCGGAACGAAATACACCTTCAAAATTGTGAATATCGAAAAACACCTTTCAAATGGCTTTAAAAGTGAATGAAAATAGAACTCTAAGCAGTACTCAGACAGCTTCGGAGACGTTTGTGCCAAAACACTTAGAGTAAATTTTTATCACGTTTAATAAACCTTAAAATATTGACCTCAGTTATTATTCGTCTAGTTGGACAGAAATCTAACCAATCACATTGTTGAATACATGACAATGCTTCAGCCAATCAAAACACAGATAATGCAGTAATGTAGTGATTCATGGCTTCGTTATTTCCAACAGTATTATTACCTCTGGGATTGTCTATTAATAACACGTGAGAATGCATTATGCGGTCAAACCTACATATGCATTCCTCTAAACATGTCTCTCGTGTGTCATCTTAGTGATAACATATGCATTAATTCGAAGGAGTTTATTTAATAGTTAAACGGAAGTTAAATGGGCCTGTAGACCAAGGATTATCCCATTTGAATAAAAAAAAAACTTTTGATTTACTACTAGGATATCACAATTCATGTGTGTAAAGAATTAAAACAGTTAAATATCAACTTTATAATCAATTCATATGGATAGATTTAAACATGGAAACTGCAATCGAAGTTTCATCCGTTGAATAATAACAGTAATAATCAACGTACTTCTAACCGAAACACGCTATAACAATAAACACCATGGACCATGTACATTTGTGTATATTTCTCACATTAATTATTGGATATCTACGCGATACAAGTGAGTATTTTAAAATGATTTTTTTTTATTGAATATGCATACCTCCTTTGTGCTTTGAAGTGTTTTAGAGATACATGATTAAAGTGTTTTTAAACCATCAGAAGTCTTTTGAAGTATAATATAGCTTATCCTGTATGCGCAATAACACTTTTTTGTATGTTACATTTGCTTTGTCTGTAAATCAAAAGCGAATGAATATAACTGCATGTGGAAAGTTATTTCCCTTCCTTTACAGACTCAGCAATAGCACTCACCTGAGATATCAGACGAACAAAACCGTATAGTTCCTCACTTATTGCATTCTGACTGCGTTATTTGATAAGCAGTAAACATTCCAGACATTTCAACTTCCAGTGTTATCGATAAATATTAGTTCTTGTTGATGAATTGATTTAGTGTACAAAGCAACGTTAAATGTTAAATTATTTATTATTTTGTTTCCTTTAATCTAGAAATAGGGCTTCACCCCGTCTCATTGCGTTCGGTTCTCTGCTAGAGTCTTCACCTGGCTCCAAGTCTGCCCACATGCTTTCATCTCCTCTTCACATGACCTCCTCCAAGTCACCCTTGCACTGACGACCAACTCGCTGCTTCCCTTTCGGCTTCCACTCGAGCGATGGCTTGTCTAGTGATGTCACTTGATGGCTTCCTCAGAGTATGGCCAATCCATCTCCATTTCTTCCTGCTATTTGTGCTAAATCCTTCTGATTTGGTTAGATGTTAAAACATCCCAATAATTCCATACTAGCTTCATACTTCAAATGCTTGCCTTCTATTTAATAATTAGAAATGAACATGGCAGTGAACTCTAAATTAGGCAGGTCAAAGTAGGATTATCTTTAATAGTTTCGCAGTTAGAGTCAGTTTATCATGTTGTTGCATATAAAAAAAAGTTTTTGTTCAAATATGTTTATTTGAATTCTGCACTATTCTCTTCACACCTAATATCACTTCCAGCAGATACAGTTTACCTCAAAATTGTCTGATAATTTGCAGTGTGTATCCAAATATATGTGATCGTAGATCACAATTAAATACCATCTCAGAAAAATAATTACGTTTCTGCGAAATTGAGTACTTTTGAATAAAATGTCCTTCTATTTTATTGGAACTGAAACAACAGGTAAAGCGAAACAAGATATGATCATGAATTCATTTTAATATAAAAAAGCTGATAACCGAACTGGTAAACTAATCTGAGTCTATGTGAAATCCAGACCGGATTTCTTTTAGATCTGATCCAGTATAGTTTGGGAATTTCATCGTGAGCTGACATTGGTTAGGGTACCATTGAAAAACCTGGGAGTATCGGACAGGTGCTTCGTCAGCCTAGTTCGTGGCAGTTCAACAGTACTCATCCACCGGGATTCGAACCCAAGACCTTCCTGTGTGTGCGTACTGCTGAATTGCCACAAACTAGGCTGACTAAGCAGCTTTCCAGTACCTCCAGGTTTTTTTCCAAAGGTAGTCTTAACGATGTCAGCTCATGATGAAATGCTGAAACCAATCACATCCCTGCATACAAACATTTGAATATATATTTGTCATAAAATGTTTATAATGACATGGATAGTTAAAGTTAGGGTTAAATTAATTCGCCTGATAATCCTAATATTCCATAACTAAGAATGTTATTCCCTGGAAGTCTTTCAGTAAAACTGATGTAATTTCTATTGACAGAAAACGATTCATTCAGTTTAACTACACACTGCTCTAAGTAAGTTACATACGACGTACTCGCTTGTCGATTTCGGTAGTTTTAGATGTATACAGAACATTGATTTAGTTTGTTACCATCGTCCAACTGAGCAAGCCTTACTAAAACATTCTTTTTTTATGGGAAGGTACGAAGTGTTTTTAACTGTATTAAAGATGATCCCTTGATGAACATCACTTCAGTGAATACATCTCCAATAATATGCACATTCTGAACAACTGTTCATAAACTTCGTTATTAAAAGTTCTTACCTAAGCAAGATAGTCACATTTATACAATCATGAGACTACAACAGAAATAGTTATTTTTAACATATGACCAGACATTCCTTCATTACAGTTGTTGCTAATACTATTTGAATAACTCAATTTGGGAATAATTTCCTTCCTTTTGGTTGAATAAACTCATTTCATGAATACACAACATGTTTTCGACAATGTAATAACTCAAAATCTGTCATTTATCTACCTGAATGAACATGCAAAATCAACTTTTGTTGTAGGCTGACAACTAGGTTCCCGATAAAAGTCACACTTTCTGATTATACTTTTCTACCTACTACCTTAAATAAAATAAGATTTGGTATAAGACTTGTTTTGAAAGACTATGTTTTTAATATATATATCCTCCTGCATCTAACTTTTCTACATTTTTAATATTGATAACTTTATGTACGTCGGTGGCGCAGCGGTAGAATGCTCGCCAGTCACTAATGTGGTTTGGGGTTCGATCCCTAGTTGACGCAGTCCTTTACCTCGCCAAGCGCTAGCAACCTCATCCCGTTAAAAATAAACACCACTGCTACTGAAACTTCAAAGCTCTCCTTGAAGCCCTACTTTCCACTGGGAACGTGAAGGAATAATAAGAATATGTATACACTCTTTTTAAGTAGTTTTGTGAAATTAAGATTAATTAGTTTAGAGAAAATTTATTTATTTTAACGATAAGAATATCCATCTTTCTGAAGAAAGTGTAAGTCGGTTTACGTATATATATATATATATATATATATATATATTGATAGATTTGTCTACTTTTGTTCAGTATTCAATAATTCTAGATGATTCACACAGCCTTGACATTGTTTAAATTCATCTTCCAAAAGTTTGTTGTTGTTGTTGTTATTGTCGTCTTTATTTATTGTTTACTAATATTTTATTTAAAATAAACAAAAAAGAAAGTAGTATTCCCTTTGTGAATACGAACACTGAATACTGAAGTGTCAAACAGATTTCAGCAGAAAGATAAGGCGAAAATTAACTGTCATATGAATTTTAAATTTATATATATACTAACCTATACCTAACCACAATCGTCTTCAGTTGTTTGTCGGCATGATCCATTTTGAGACAGACAACAGACTGAATTTATCAAATCGGGTAATTACTGGAATATATATATATATATTTTATTGTTTAGAAATTATAAGCTGAGAACAATTAAACTACACCTTAGTCTAAGTAATAAACATCTCTGTCAGACAAGAGAAAAATTTGTCGAAACATCAATGAACTGTTATCATACTTTCGGCAAACACCTGTCCGACAGTATACTCATTAGTATCGCATAAAAAAACCTTCTACTGTCAAGCTTCTAAACCGGTTTGTCAAATGTTCACATCGAACATTCTGAGCTAGAATCAAATACATATTATCTGATGAATTTGGAACACTTATGGTCAACAGTCATGCCAAAAAGTGGCGTTCATGACTTAAAAAGTCTTTCAGCCTTGAGAAATAACAGTCAAATATGAAATGTATCGTGAGTCGGTGGTAGAATGCTTGCCAATCACGCGTGTGATCCGGGATTCGATCACCGGCCGACGCACTCCTTTACCTCGCTAAGTCAGTAATAGAACTGGTAAAGAGGAAAGGTTGGGTTTGAGGCCAGCAGTAGCATCCCGTAAAAAATAAACAACACTGCCACTGAAACTTCAAAGATCTAGCTTGAAGCTCTATGTTATACTAGAAGCGTAAATGATTTTTACAAAAATGAAATGCATCAGGACTAAGGCTCAGGTTCCCCCAGTGTCGAAATAATAGGCGCTTCATTTCAATAGCTGGTAGGAATTCGTAGTTGTTTTTTTTTTACCTGATAGAAGTGGTACTTGAAATCTTTATGGAATTTTCTTTTATCTCGCATGTCAAAAATTGTTTTTCACAGTGTATTTCAATAGAGAATAAGAATACACAGCCGGACATCATTGATAAGTGGAATTAAAAGCTTGTTTCCTGTATCTTAATTACAATAGCTTTTTAGGTTAATTTCCAATCAATGATGTGTTTTAATTTATCACTCTTCACCTAAGGTGTATGTGTTAATTCCTCTCTCTCTCTCTCCAACAGATAAATCTAATAGAAAATGGTCATGTTATTTAGGAAGAGATATACTGAAGTATAATTATGCCATAAATTTTGAAGTTCATTTCCTATCTTTAGTCTATCGACATATCTTCTCAATGACTCTTTTGTCTCCTATCTATCTAGATCTTATTCTATAAAACAGAGTTATTTATTTTTAGAGTACATTTATAAAGAAACAACGATGGTTTTTAAGACTTCAATATACCGGCTAAGGACAACAGATAACCAGCATGACAGTCTAACAGTCACACACACCCTGTGTTAACTGGGATAAATGACTGTACTGTTCTGTGACTTGTTAATCACTGTTTTGCAGTCGACCAGTGCTACACTGCTTGTTATTCTATTCCTTTAAATGTAAGTAAACATAACTCTGACTAAATACTTTGCGGTATGTTTCTTTCTTTGCTTGAAAGATCATTGTTTTATACTGTTCGAGGTTGTACTTATGTAACGTTTTGTATTTTTATGAACGGATAAAGTTTTCAGACAGGTCACCCATATCCTGACTGTAGCTAAGGTCAAGCTCTATGGCTTCAATATTAACTACATGGAGTGAAAAATCTGTAGACAAATAAAAACCTGTAATAACTTCACTTAATTCTATAGAATTTTCTTTTCGTAAATAATAACAGTGGGATATTAATTCTGTCATTTTATTTCAAAATTTACACTAATCCTGTTCTTTAGCCAATCAGCTATGAGCTACAGTACAGTTAGGTGGAGTCGAAGTTTTAATGAGTTGTCAGGTCACCTTACCAGACCGAAATGCTTAGTCCACTTTGATGTATCGGCTAAAGTTTAACCTGATGGCAGCTTACCAGTAGAACACTAGAAGTGCGTTTCATCGAAGCTGAAAATTGTTATATAGATATTACAACATCCAAGTGAGTATCTGTATTCCCGCCGAGACTTGAACT